TTAGAACTAATGAGGCTAATCGAATTTCTACCATTATTCTGGACATGGAAATATACAACGCCCCCGTAAGCCTTCTCGCTGGCGTCTGCAAATCCAACAACCGTTATGCTGCTATTTCTATCGACATTTATATGACGCGGTATTTTAATTTCTCTTAGTAAAGGAAGTTCCTCTCTAAAGCGCTGCCACAATCGAACAATGCTGTCAGGCGGCGAGTCATCCCAATCGCATTCAAATAACCAAAGTTGTTTAATCAAAAGCTTAGCGTATAATACCACCGGAGCTACGAAACCCATGACGTCCCATAATCTAGCAACGCATGACAGTATTGTGCGCTTTGTGCATTTCTCTACGGGCGGATTTACCTTAAGGCTAAACACGTCGGACTCTGGTGACCAACACAGACCGAGCACCTTGTGTGTATCGGAATCGTCGAATTCCTTTATCGCCGAAAGACGGTGTGATAGTGGGATTGTATCTAAAACCGGACGCGAATTACTAGTCCACTTCACAAGATCGAATTGACCCGATTTCATGAGCCTTATAACCTCGGCGGTGGTTAGGGTGGCCTCCTCCACGCTATCGACCGAATACACAAAATCATCCATATATAATCCGCTCTCAATTGCCCTCTTAGCTTTAGGATAAGAGGGACCTTCATCGTGAGCGAGCTGTCTCACCGTGCGTAACGCATGAAATGGGCTCGACTTTAAACCAAAACAAACGCGGTTAAATTCTAACACCATTAGAGGTTCCTTTGGGTGGAAACGATATAAAATGCGCTGGAATCTACGGTCGCATTCACGGACCCCTATGCAAAGAAACATTTGGCGAATATCGGCGGATAGTGCTATACTAAACAAACGAAAATTGACTATTATATCAAATAAACTGCCCTGTAAATTTTGCCCACTATAGAGGATATCGTTAAGCGACAGGTGAGTGCTAGTTTTAGCACTAGCGTCGAGCACTACACGTAATTTAGATGTAAGTTTGTCCTCTCTAATGACTCCGTGGTGTGGTATAAAATACGACGGTGTGTCTTCGTAGTTATCTAATTTCGAAGCCACAAGTGATATGTAACCTTCTCTTATATATTCGTTAATGACGCCGTCGTAAGCTTCCTTTAACTGGGGCGAAGCGAGCATCCTACGCTCCAAGCTGTAGAAACGTTTTTCCGCCATTTGACGCGAATCGCCGAGAGATAAAACATCTCCCTTAAAGGGTAGCGCTACACTATATCTACCGTCGCGATCACGAACGGTCGTGCGGACGTAAATTTCCTCGCATATCCTGTCATCTGAACTAGCTATGGGTGGGACGTTCACCTCCTCCATCTCCCAAAATTTGCGGACTAACGACTCGAGCGGTTCAACAGCCATACCACAATAAGAGGCTGCCGAAATACTATCTAGGATGGGGGCGGAGCCAAGGATCACATAGCCCAATACGGTTTCCAGTGCGTAAGGCGCGGTATGCGAGGAGTTGCCCCTGACCTTATTGTTTAACAAAAGATGAGGGAAAAGCGATGCCCCAATGAGCATGTCTATGTTTCCAGGAACGGCGTAAGTGTCGTCTGCTAGAGTCAAATTTTTAAATTCAATCATTGCCGAGGTGTCAACCGAAACGGTTGGCAACCGTTCAGTGACCCTATCTACTACTAGTGCATTTATATCAAAGTTAACGTTACGATCTATCCGAGAATAAAATTTTAAATTTATATATCCCTGTGTCGCTTTACTAGTACCTCCGATGCCTTTAACTACAGGACATGAAAGTGACCTATTTATTACTAAGCCTAAGCGCTGACAACATTGTCGTGTTATAAAGCTATTTTGGGCTCCGCTGTCCAGCAGTGCACGGACGCTTTGTTTGTTTCCACGCGAATCCCTAACCAAAATACGCGCCGTACCCAGTAACACGGTTGAAGGAGGTTGTGCTCCCATATTTGCCAATGAGCACAGAGCGACATCACCAGGTCGACCGCTAGAATCGTTGACCTTAGTAGGGGTGAATTCCTTATTCGCCTTACTTGACGCCGCTATGTTGCTATTTTCAAAATGTAATAGCGTGTGATGTTTCCTGGCGCACTTGCTACATACGGAACTCGAATTGCATTTTGCAACTAAATGCTTATCGCTTAAGCAGTTCAAACATAGGTTGTTTGTTTTTACTAACTTATAACGTTCGCTTGGTGAATATTTACGAAAAGTCGCACAGTTATATAAATTACCGTGTTTATCTTTACATACTATACAAGTATGCTGGAGCGATGTCGGCGTAGCGGTTACGTAAGTTAACGACCCTGCTATTTTAGATGGTTGAGTCTGTCTACGGTCGACGCACCTTTTAATCTCCTGTTTAACGTTCGGTGAGCGCTGCATCACCTTTATTTGATCTCGCACGAACGATGCTAATGAATGAAAGGAAGGCATCTCCGAGCTACGATGCTCCATTTCAAACGCACGCACCGTGTCGGAGTCTAATTTCTTTAATGCTATATGGAGAAACACCACGTCCATGAGGTCATTAAACTTCAAATTCTTAAGTGCAGCCACCGATGCCACAAATTTATCGAGAAACTGCTCTAAGCCGTTGATGTTCGCGGATGATATAGGTTTAAGATCGAATATCTGGTTCAAATATTCGGAAGCTAACATTCTCCTATCTTCATATTTAGTTTTAAGCGTTTCAAATATTAATACGTAATTGTTTGCTGTAGGTGTAAAACCCGAGCAGATCGACTGTGCTCTGCCACTAAGTTTGCTAATTAAGTAATATAATTTTTCAGCGTCCGATAACGATGGGTTGTTGTGTATATTGTTTTGAAAACTACTGAAGAAGAAGGGCCACGTCTTAATATCACCATTGAATACCGGAATATCTATTGGCGGTAACCTAATTGAGTCACGAGGGCGTACCTGCATTTCAGGCTTCGCTTCACCTTGAGATTGTAGCAATTTTGCGGTTCTCTTCACGCGACACAACATATCTTCGAATGCCAGCAGCGGTTGGTAGTTCACTATGTATTTCGGGTCGGTTTGTAGTTCCGAATGATTAATTTGATCTAATATTCTTTCGTAATCTGTCCGCAAATTATCTATCGTTTCGATTTCATTTAAAAAGGCCTCCCGTACTGCCTCTATATGAATGTTCTTTATATAATCACTTATATTCTGCACACGCGAAAAGAGTATGTCCCTCTTGGCATAAAGCGTTTTAATTTTGATTTCACTTCCACTAACTGCCATTTTAAATTATTATAATAAAGTTATATTAATCACAATTAATCTCACACGCATAAACGACGTAGGATGAATACTCGGCGTGCCGTATTACGTAATCAGATCGAGCGCCCGATGCAGTCAAGGTTACGCGTCGTTTGCTAAACCTAATAATTTTATAAAATTGTGGGGTAAGCGTATCAAACGGTTGCTATCACGCCGTTTCAATTATTTAATAAGCTTTAAATTTAACCAAATACGAGCGCTATTAAATGAATAATTCTGTTTGCGAGTAACAAATCAAAATTTTAATTTAAACGAACACTATTTAAGTCTATTCTATAAATTAGAGTGCGTTATCTAAACAATTAATTTAATAATTCGACCAGAAAATGGTTGGATAACCACTAAACACCAATCCAGATCCTGCCGAAGTGACCATAAAATGGTGGAGCCACGTGTTTAAGGCTGCCGAAAATCTAGTTCCCCGGTCAAACCTCAAACCTATTACGCGAGATATTAACTAAAGTGGACTGTATATGCGATTGCTTCTACGCTTACGTAAAGCGACTACTATAGCATGCGGTACAATGCACTCGCTCTTCCCTAAACTAAACTATTACTTGTCGAATCGATGAAAGGAATCCTGCTTGACTAGGAAACAAAACACAGATTGGAGCGGGTTAAACTATTAGCAAGCAGGTATAATTAAGGAATATTGACTCACCGGGGTTTCTTCTTCCTGTCGATCACTATAGCGGCGACTTCCGGAACCTCCTCTGGACAGACACTTCTGGGGCCCCAGTGGTGCGTCAGGAGAGAAGAGTTGGTTCAACGACGACTGCGGCGGGAGAAGAGGCTCGCGCATCGGTCGCGCGTGTCTTATATATCCTCGGCTCGGGTGATTACGCGATGTTCTAGAATCGTCTTCTTTCCCCTCCCACCCCACCACCCCGATGTGTCGATAGGAGGGTACGAATGATATTGTTTGGAAAGGAATAATGATTCTACAAGTTCCTACCGTCAAATAAAAAACGCGAATGGTTTTCCGCGCAACCAGAAAGAATATGATAATTCTAGTAAGCACCCAGAAATCCCTTTAGTTGAAGTTAGGTTAGAAGTTAAGTTAGTGATGATAATGACGGTAACGAGGAGAATATCCCAAATATGACCAGAATGTAGTTAGTGATAATTCTCGGATGACATAATATGACTGAATTTTTTAAAGATTTTTTGGTAAGAAGACATAAACAAATGAAAGATGTTTCGTGTTTTATCTACTTTAGCCTAAAGATTTAAATAATTAGATGCACCTTTACCATAGTATGACCACTCTGAAAAGTGTCCATTCTCAAATGAGTGAGATCACTCATTCGCAATCAGTGCTCATTTGTGCGACAGAGAAAGTCGTATACACAATTTCTGTAAGATAATAAGAGATGACACTATTGCTTTAGTGTGCGCGCGTCAGCGTCTTGCAAACGAACACATCCAAAAATAATGCCACAGTTTTCAAGGTGAAGGCACATCTAACTATTTAAATCTTTGCTTTAGCCCAAAGAGCCGCTGGTGGTAGTGCCAAAAACTTCCCCTGAAAACCCATGAATTAAACCATATGCCACTTATTAGTTTTGCCCTAAATTCATAGAATAATGTATAATAATAAGGAATTGCAAAATATTGTAAATATTAAACACTTTTATTGTTATTTACTTTTTATTTACCGTGGAATATAAATGTAGCATAAAATGTTTCTTGTTAACAGAATATTTATCATCAACTAGAACAACTAATTTTCAAGGCATAAGCCCACTGCGGAGGTTGTGCTGAAAAGCCACGTCTCTCAGCCTCTGGTTGAACGGCGTAAGGATTACGCATCACATCTAACAGGAATCTTACCTAAACAGACAAATATTAATAGAAATTTTAATTCTGATATCAATATCTATTACTTTTAATTAACAATAAAGAAACAATTTAATAATATATATTTTCCTTAGTTATTTATTTCTATTCTATAGCAAGCAACCCTTGAATTCCACAATAGAACATAGGTCATTCCAAGAATAGACATTTTCATATTCTCACACTGGTAATACGTGTTCTCCTTAATTGGAGGAACTTAGGTTAATTATTTTCAAATAACACATGTTGTGAACGATCAAATCTCGGCGTCTTTTCTAGTATGTACGTGGTACATTTTACTTCAATGGGTTAAAGTGCCATTTTTATTGAAGTAAGGGTGATAAACGAACACACAGTATAACTTTAAGTAAATGTTTGCTGTAACTTATAGCCACCTGATACCTTCGAATAAGAATCAAAATGCAAATGCGTTGTTATTTTCAAAGAATGTTATCAGTAAAAAGGGATCCGGTTTTCGTCTAACAACAAGCAAAATAACAACATTACGCTGCTATTTCATACTGGTATTGCGTGCAAGCATGTATCTTCCCCAGTTTAACTGACTCCTTCGTGCTGTAACCATAATACACACTTTGCTGGAAGCCGGAGGTCTCTTCTTAAGTTAGGAGGATGCACAAACCACAGGTGCTGTCGGTATTAGAGAAGTTGCTACTGTAGGGCAGGTAGTTCCGGTTTGGCTATGGATATAGTACCAAGCTCTCATAGAATACCAGCGTAAAATAGCAGCTTAATACTGCTGTAATTCGTGTGATGAGTTAAGAGAACTCGACATCTTTTATTACTGGAAAGGAGGAATCCCATCTTAGTCCTCAGGGGTGACAAAGCATCTGCAGTTTGATTTTTAATCGGGGATAAACGTGGATGTCTATGGGCCGTAGCATTACAATCAAGTGTTGTTAGGTAACAGCATTACCATCAGTAATGCTCTTACCTTACATTAGTCTGTGGTATTTAGACTGAGTATAATTGGTTGAAGAGCTGCCGTGCGGTGACGGTAAGAATAATTCATCTCATTTCACTCAAGGTGTTAAAATATAAGGTGATTAAAGAAAATGCTAGAAAATCTAACGGCATCCGATAGATTGCGGTATAATCTCGTTTACGCCGGACGCAAAACAAGCAGATAATATACTGGATGACCTTTCTTACCGTCTGGAAAATATAGGGTGTAAAATATGAACAAAAGGTTTGAATGAAATAAATACATTAAATTACTAAAATCTATCGAAAATCAAAGCATGTTCACCACCTACTTTACGAACGGCAATAAGAAAATAAATTTAGTAGGCATCTTTGACCTTGTCACTTCGCAGGGGCACAGGCTCCAGGGGAAAAGGGCAAAGTAGTTGTTGAAAAAAACTTTCAAACGTTTAATTCAAATAGAGATATTAATAGTTATTTTGCAACCCTCCGCTCAATTAAATGAAATGATGTATCTTACCTAGTTTGAAGAGCACCCACTCCCAACACCACTACTCCCAACACCAATCTTCAGGTGATATAGACTCTACGGCAGCTGACCGCTAAGACCGCCACGTGTAGAGGCGAAACACGTGTCGTATTATCGTCGATGGTAAGTCTTTCCTAGAAGAGTAGTGTTGGGAGTGGGTGCTCTTCAAACTATGTAAGACACATCATTTCATTTAATTGAGCGGAGGGCTGCAAAATAACTACTAATATCTTTATTATAATGGATTTCCGCAAATTAACGCCTGATTGTATCAATTAGTTTAGTTCAAAATTTTTGTTTTTATTTTTTGTAAAATATCAGTGCCGAGGCTTCTACTCTGTTCACATGTTACATCCTATTTTTTCCAGACGGTAAAAAAGGCCATTCAGTATATTAGATCAATTAAAACAAGCAGATAATACACAATAATAGTACATCACCACAGCTAGGTGTTGGTAAGAGTTATCGTTTAAGCCTGGTCACTCCATTCATGATTCACTTATTTAATTTAAGTATGTAAGCTTTAGCTGTAGTAAAAATAACTAAAAAGTAAACAGCGGACCAACTTTCTCAAAATTATCCATTTCAGCGTCCTGTATTGCCTCATGCAGAAGCCAATTACGCGGTACGTAGATTGGGTTAACGTTAAGCATGCGTCTGCGACGTTCATCCTCGAACATACCTAAAGAGCCTGCATCTACTGAAAAAAAATAGGTACAAATACAAATAATTTATTGCTGTCATCATGTTGATTTTTCTTTACAACCCTTCAGAAGTCCACTGCTGAACATAAGCCTCCCCCAAGGAATGCCACAAAACACGGTCCTGAGTCACCTGCATCTATCGACTTCCTGCATATCATACCAGGTTGTCACGACATCTACTGTGGGACCACCATACACTTTACCTACCTACCATAAAAGATTAAACCATAAAAGTAAAATTGCATATTTACTTCATAACTATAAAGTAAAACAAATATGTCTACTATTATTTTTTATTGTTTTCTAACTTACATAGGTACCTGAATTTCCTTGTGATCATTTTAAACGAATCTGTTGTAAAAATAAAAAATGGGTCACCATCAAAATATTAATTGTTGATTGACCAATTGTTTCGAAAATCATTAGCTATATTAACGTTTTTCGCAAAAATAATTTTATATTCTTTAACATTTTCATGCACATTCGACACAAAAATATTTTTCTTTTTTAACGTATATTTTTCTTACGACTGTACACAACAGCATGTAAAAAATAATGTAGGAGAAATAAAAGGTCATCAACCACCAAATTACACTCAGGAGAAAAAAAAATCAAAAATCTTCATTCTCAAACCAGTAATACTTAAAATTAAATACATTATTGGAACACTCCTTTTAAGTTCGGAAACTTGTGTTAGGAGGCTCCGCTCTTCCCATCCTTCATTTATATAAATTAATGTTTAGAACTTGGGTAACACATAGATTTTTGACTTACAGTTGAACTTATGTAGTATTTATTTACAATATAATATCCGTTGGTGTTAGTTGTGTGATTGTGTAGTGTATGTGTATGTGGTGTGTGCATGTTGAGGTATGGTATATTTAGTAAATTATTCATTATGTGTAACAAGTTAAGTAATTTTTTTCAAAAAGTGTTTCGGTTTCGTTGTAATTTAAGGTTTTCAACCATTCTATTGTTTTCTTTTTAACTTCTATGCTATGCAATGGATATATGATTAAGATTTTATTTATTTTATTATATAAGTATACTGCCCTTTTCTCATATATACCACTGAGGCGATTACTTGGCGTTACACATACAAGTAACACCCCTATTACACTACCCTGAATCAGACTCCCTAAGCCCTGATTCAGGGTGGTGTAATAAGAGAAAAGGAGTAAGGATAAATTAGGTCGTCAAAGTGGACCCGGTCTGAAGTGCCGTTCCACCGTGCAGTGTAATAACACTAAGGGATTTAGGGCAGTTATTCAATGCGCGACTAGGGATGCAAACGATCCATCAATTCCTTCAAATATCGATATATCGTTCATAAACATGGTTCTTCATGAGCTATGTTTTATGAACGATGTTTTGACGTCAAAGGTTACGAAATAACCAACTATTCGAAGGTTAAAATTCCGTATGTTAAAAGTTGCAAACGACGATTATCACGAATTTTATGTTGCCAAAAAATAAATATTCGAAACAAAATATGTCAAAGTTATATAACGTCTAAATTTTTAAAGTTATAAGGTTTACGAGTATTTGGTAGAAATAACTCAATCCCGAAAATTTGAATTACGAATCAACAAACAGGCGAATGGTCTTTCTAGCGAAAATAAATATACTTGAACTTCAGAAGTACAATTGTTTTCTATCGGTAATTCCATTTTCTATGTAAACTTGTAGTTATTTTTATTGTGATAATTAATTAAGATAAGTTTACAAATATTGAAAACGGATTGAAATTGTTTTATTCATTTTCTTATTAATAATTATATTGTTTGAGCTTTAACTTAATGAATAGCTTAAGTACAGTCTTATAAGTTAATAGTTATTTTGTAATGGAAATCATTTTATCGGCTTACGGTACTTTATATTTCGTTACAACCATTTTTCTGAAATTTTGATTTTATGGATGAACGGTTATTCACCTGTTTGTATTTCGGTATAGTTTCGTAGATGTATTCAGAAAATGCGGTAATAATGAAGGTAACATATGGGACTACCATAAAAAAATTAACGCACCACATCATAAGAAATAAAATTAAAGCAGAAGACGAGTTTCATATATTACATGTGGGATATCATGAAAGGATTATTTCCCGGGCTTCTACACTAAACTATCATTATAATACGGTAATAATGGAAAAGAAATGACTCATAACATAACAATGTCGCATCATTCTCTGCATACCGCACCGCCGCCGTGTACTTGCCTTCGATAATTCATTTGTTGTTATCGATAATGGCGTTGCGCCCGCGCATCATGCTCACCGCCCTAGCCGGGCTGAGACCGAGCTATGATTTATGACCCCAACTGCACGGACAAAGTAATTTTACTATAGGCTACTTTCATTTTAGAAAAAGAATCAGAGTCCCGCGGAAAAAAATTAAAACCCATGAAATCCAATCGTAATAAATTCCACGTGGGCGATGTCGCGGGGAACAACAAGCTTTGCTCAGCATACTATAGCCAACATTTTTAACATGCAAAAAGATTTACCCTATCCATTCCTTAGTAATCAATTTTCCGATATAGATATTCTATTTCTCGATGAAGTTTTCGCCTTGATTGTAGTAGTGACGTGTACCGACAGGTTCAGCGTTTGCGTGTGTATCTGCGATTCGTTCTACTCGCGATCGTGACTGCGCGCTCCCGAGGCCTACGCACACAAACACAATGTGTATGTGCACGACTAACAACAACCAAAATCAAACTTCCATCGTGAAATGAATAACTATAGCTAGCAATACCGACGAAGTGATCGAATTTAATACTTTCGTTTCTTTACACTTAAGGCTTTCTACAGTCGTTTAAATAATCTTATACTAGCTAACCAGCTTCTTTGTCTAATCTTTCTCGATATTGGTCAAGCCAACAGCCCCATGAAGCGTGCGAGGACAGTCGCTTCAAGGACCATTTCTCCCCCAGTTTTATTTCGCTCACCATTTCGCTTGGTTCCAGCTGAAAATTAAGAATTATTTTGTTCAAACAACCCAAAAGTTAGTCAAGAGAACATTATAACCTACCCGTAAAACTGTTGAGGAAGACACTGATTTTAAATGTATACGTAGATATTTTGTAGCACTACATGCAGATAGTTATAGCAGGATTTTAAAATCTTTTATTTGAGGAACTGGCCAGTTATGATATTTTTTTAATTTATTGTCAAATTTGAAAATAGAAAATTAGATGACATACACTTTTTTCATTCATTTGTTTTATTTTCCCGAACAATACGTTTTGTCAACTTGTTCGAGTAATAACTACGGAATTGTAGTTTTTTTAAAAAATTGCACTTAATGGTTTTTTATAAATTTGTTATTCTATAGGCAATTTTGTTTATTAAAAGCTCTTTATTATGCCTGACTTAACATCACTGGAAATCATTAGGGCTGATGAAATGAGAAGAAATGGCCATACCTACAGATCGATTGCCTCAAGGCTTCGTCGACCAGTATCAACGATTCATCGCAGCATCCAGCGGTACAGATCGTCTAATTCTCCTGTGAGGAGGAGGGGGTCAAGGTAGAAAAAGATGTACATCGAGGCGAGATGACAGTTTTTTACAACTTGGAGTTCGTAGGAATACGCGATTAACGGCTGTACAAGCTCGAAATGAACTGGAAGACGTTCGAGGAGTACAAGTAAGTGAGCGTACAGTTCGCAGGAGATTTGAAGAAGTTGGTTTAGGGTCGTATATACCTGCTAAAGGCCCAAAACTTGAGAGACGTCACCGCGTAAACCGATTAAGCTATGCGCGAGAACATCGTCATTGGGATTTGAACGAATGGCAGCAGGTTCTCTTTACTGATGAGTTCACAGTTCTTTTAAAACAGATCGATGGGAGACAGCGAATATGGAGACGCAAAGGAGAACGACACATACAGTCTAATTTTGAACACACAGTGGCTTATGTTGGCGGCTCGATTATGGTTTGGGGAGGGATATGTTTGGGAGCTCGCACGGAGTTAGTGATAGTCACAGGAGGGACCATGACAGCAGATCGATACATCAGAGACATTTTAGAAAAACATGTTGTACCATTTGCCCCTATTATTAAATTATTGGTGACGACCTTATTCTAATGCAAGATAATGCTCGTGCTCATAGTGATCAATCGGTACAGGCATATCTGAGCCACGTAGGTATACCGGTGATGCAGTGGCCAGCAAATTCCCCCGATATGAATCCGATAGAGCATGTCTGGGACTTGCTAAAAAGAAGGGTTAAATCCAGAATGCCACCCCCCAACAATCTGAATGAACTTGGAAACGCATTACTTGAGGAGTGGGAGCGGTTGCCTCAAGAAATCATCGATAACATAATCTGTAGCACGCCCAGACGAATGTAAACCGTAATCAGAGCAAGAGGGGGAAACACTCGTTATTAATTTTGCTTTAATTTTATTGTTAAATCATTTAATGCTTACTTTTTTTATTTTTTGTGATGGTTCATAATCATCTAAAAATTTCACTTATTTCAAATTTCTTTATTTTTCAATAAAAAATAACTAATACTTTTCAAAGTCGTTGTTAAAAGATGTTAATCAATTTGTTATTTTGTGTCTAATTACATTTTCGTCAAATATATGCGTTATTATCTCATAGTCTCACTTTTTTTTCTGTTCCGCTAATTGTGCCGATGTGTATATTAACACGTTGACCGCCAAACTCAAAAACTATGTTTTTTCAATTTTTGAACCTGCCTTTTTTGTCTTAATTTTTATTATTATAGTAATCTTAAAGTAAAATCATGTTAAATTATTTTGGTTTTCCATGATATTCCATGATTATTCATGTGTGCCAAAAAGAAACACGGGGCCCCTGATAAAGTTTTTACTTAAAAATTTATTTAAACGCCGTGTGTATACTTTTGGGAACACGCAAACCAGCGATGTCATTGTCGTTATGAAGTGCAGGGATAAGAGGATTTCAGTGCTGAATATTTTTTTGAAACATTCAAAACCGAAAACCGTTGCCAAAAACACAGGAAAATCTAGCATCGACTTGAGTGATCAGACGGTATCGTACAACTCAGCATTGAGGCGTTGTACAAAATAGTACAGAAAATTATTTTTTTGAAGTATTATAGGGTATCAGCATCGTGACTGCTCTATTTTTTGTACTCTGAGAATACTTGCAGAAAGGCTCTCAAAAACACAGAATTTAGGGAGGCAGTTATCAGAAGAATGTCTCACAAATACTCACGTCAAGAAGACAAAAGCCCACTAACATCAAACAAGCTACACAGACATGTTTTCAATATCAAGGAAAACCCTCCGAAAAAGATAAAAGGACGTTGTGTCGAAGGCTATAAGATGTATGGAAGGCAAGGAAAACTTGTTGAAGTAAAACGCAAATTTTTCAAACAAACGAAGAGAATTTGCTCTATTTGCCAAGTTTTGCTATCTACAGATCACTTTGACAAGTTCTCCTAACTACTTTTTCGTAAAAACACTACTAATTATACCAGCCTGTTATATTCTATCTATCTATCTACTGTTGATTTTGTGTGTTTCTAAAAGAAATGAGTATAGTACAAATAAATGTAACTTCTAAAAATAGGTGTTTTTTATTTTTGTCATAATTTTTTACCTAAAAAACCCACTCGGACCGAAACATTCGTGGAGACTAGAAGTAGAAGATTCCGTAGTAAAATGTATGAAAACGTGTATCCAAAAGGAAACACGCGGCCTCAGAAGGTAGCATTTTGTGTTTCCAAAAATGGCGCTCAACGTGTTAAGGATGTGTTCCGAAATACAACCCAGTACCTACACTGGCCAATGCAAATGACGTCATAAATCGACGCCATATTGGTGATTCGTTGTATTGAATACTTCCTTTGAGCATAGAAAATATTTCTATAAGCTATTTTCTATACTCAAAGAATACGGCGTCAATTAATGACGTCATTTGCATTCGCCAGTATACTGAAAACATTTCGGAACATACCCATAGACTATACCGTGCCGTACCGTGTAGTGGCATTGTAAGATTATCCCCTATCTCATATCATCCTATGGGTGTTCTAAGAGGCAACATAGGGAAACAAATCAGGAAATGGGAAGCAGCGTCTTCCTAATAACGACTAATAAAAAAAATCTGTGTTTGCCAATCCGCTTGACAAGCGTGGCAAATATGGCAAATATCCCCCTATAAGGAAAACTATGGGGGAGACCTATGTTCAGCAGTGGACTTTAATAGGCTATAACGGTATATAGACTATACCAGATTTTACTTTTCATGGTGGAGCCACGCTGCAGTTATGTTGCGGCTCGACCTATCTAAGACCACGCTTTGCGGTATCCTAAAAAAATATTTAAAATGCAGATACACCTGAGGACTAAGATGGAATGCCTCACTTCTAGTAAAAATTCTCCGGTTCTATACATTCACCATACGAAACAAAGCAGCATTGTGTAGCTATTTTACGCTGATATTCTGAAAGAGCGTGGTCCTTCCCCGGTCTAGCCGACCCATTCCTGCTACAACTGTAATATAGCTGCAGCATAGCGCTGCGCTACCTTGTTAAAATGTCAATTTGGAATCGTAAATGTTGAATATGAGCAAACGTCTTTTGTGGAGAGAGCTTTATTGTGTATTGAGACCAGGTAATATTTTACCTCAGCAAGTTGTCGAAAGGTCAAAGTAAAGTCAGCGCCGGTTTGTTGCATCATGTCCAAGAGTTTCTCGACCAGCTGCTCATCACCCCACCGCTCTTCTTTTAAACCGATTTTCATTAAAAACGTTTCTCTGCAATCATCGAATAATTTAATATATGTTCTATTGACCTTTTCTTTGGAATGGAACGGAATTAGAACTAATTTTCATTTGGTCAGATTTTTTAATGAGACTAGAGATTTGATACCACAAAGGGACCGTCAAGAAAAGAGCTCCTTTCTAAAAGGCTGCCAATGACCCTGCAATTCCCCTGGTGTTGCAGTTATTCATGGGCGGCGGTGGTCACTTATCAGGTGAACCGTATGCTCGTTTGCCCCCACTCCTATAAAAAAGAGAAGAGATATTTGCCTCTCTTCTCATAATTATATCATAATTTGGTTCAACTAAAAAATCTGGATCGCCCAATACAACGCTCATCATGCTTTTGGAAGCAGCCATGCATTTGGTTACACGATTCATTTGGAATAGTGTGCGTAGGGATTACATGACATAATTCTTCTATCTTTATTCCATCATCGGGCTATCAGACATACCCCTTTGTTGTTTCGAATCAAACTGTTTAATTTATCGTTCACAAAAGTCTTTACATCCGCTTATAATTATAATTTGCCGAATATGCTTTTGTTTAACTAAATCAGTGCGCTTTCCATCTTCGGCTGCATCACCAGTAACTACGAGTATCATGTGGGATAGTGATCAAGTACTGGCTTATAATACTGGCTTATAATCGTTAAAAAAAGATAGTATCAATATCAACATTTATTGGAACAGAAACAGAAACTTTTTTATTCAATGTAGATTATAAACAATATTTATAGTTGATATAAATATCAACTTTTTTCATTTACGACTGTTCGCAAAAAAACTCTGTCCTGGAAAGAACAAGCAAGAAACCCAGCGGGACTATTTTTCTTTTTTCAAATAATAGCTTACAATCATGTTTACAATTACCAACACAAGACGAATTAGAAATAGCTTGGTAGCGATCATCCTTCCCAGGGGTTATTATCATCCATATTGGGATCCATTGGGATGTTCAAAATAGCTATTCCATTGAAACAATAAAAAACATAGTGAACTTTGATCTGATAGAGAAAGCGGTCGAATAGAGCACCAATATTTAAAAATAATACAGTACGATTTACCATCTAAGGCTTCATCACCGCTGGTGGTTAAGCATTGGCTTATAGTAAGTTAAAAAAAAAACATTCACCATCCCTAAACAAGGTCAAGAATAAACATTTTAAAGTTTTCGTTACATTTAATTTTAAAGATATACCTAAGTATTTACAACTCAAAGCCATTACGTTAGGTACAACCAAACATTAGGTTGACTTACGTTAGTTCAAGAATTGACATAGATAAAAAATATTAATGAATTAAATTTTTCCAATGAAATGTTAGATAGATTCTACAATATTGTAGACATTTTGTCTCAGTCTTCTCAATTAGTAGAATTATTGATATTACATAGTAGGAAGATATTTTAATCAGTTTTAGATTTTATTTAGATAAATGAAAATAGATCGGCTCGAACGGGAAAGAAACACGCTCCAGAATACCATCATAAAATAGCAGCTTAATGCTGCTATGTATCATAAGGTGAATGCAGAGAGCCGGAAACGGAGTGACAACGCATTTGCATTTTGATTCTTAATCGAGGATAGATGAAGTTGTCTATGGGCCACAACATCCACTTACCATCAGGTGGACTGTGTGCTCGTTTGTTACCATTATTCTATAAAACAAAACAACCTCTTCACGGTCAAAAGTACGAAAGTTAGAGAACAGGAGAACGATCACTGCGTACTAAAGCATAGCCCGCCTGTCCTTGAGAATTGTAGAATGTATAGCGGCGCTGACATCAGTGAGTAGTGACTGCGAAGTTAGCTGCTTATGAGTACAAGTAGATGAAGTTAGTTGAATAATGTTCAAATTTTCATTTCATTTTTATTGAGAAAATTTTCATGCTCCGTAATTTTGTAATTTTTGACATTAAGAAACATTAAAAAATGGAGAAATATTTTATTGTGCGTGGATGTGCAATTGGTTAGCATCTGAACGAAAAAAAAAGACTGAAAAGACTTTTATTGACCGAACTTAATGATCGCAGCGCCTCACTGATGGTGTCCATATTTCTGGGACTCTCTTTTCTACGGTGATCGTTCTCCTGTTCTCTAACCTTCATAGTCTAAAGGTTTTGCATCGTCGTTCGTAATATGCACAGAAGGGAGTGGAATTATTTGCCAACGTCTGTTCTCCCTTCCGATTACACTGTGAGTTCTCAAGGCACTTTAGCACCTTAGGTTTTCTTACCGCTTACCATCAAGTGGGATATTATAGAAGTCAAACATAGGCTTACAACAGGAAAAACAATTTTGTTAATGTCGGCTGCAAAGAAATTTTCCAAAATTCACTGATCTTAACGGGAATAAGGGATTCCCATGAAGATCGAAGAAGCTAAGTATCCGCTGCAAGTAGTGTAAACTTTGTTTTGAAATGATAATAGTTGTTTTAGTCCCAGCATTTCAAGTAAGTCTAGGAATTAATTTCACTACGTGTTTTCCTCAAGATGATGATAACTACGACCAGTTGGTTGATGCTGTAAACGAGTTGTTACCACATAAAGCGTAAAATAGCAGCTGAACGCTGCTGTGTTTTGTATGGTGAGTGTAGAAAACCGGAGACCCTTTTTACTGGAAACGAGGCATTCCATCTTAGTCCTCACTTTAGCACCTTAGGCTTTCTCATCACTTACCATTGAGTAGCATATTATGGAAGTCAAGCATAGGCTTGCAACAGGCAAAAAAGTTTTATTAATGTCGACTGTATAAAAATTTTCTAAAATTCGCTGATCGAAGGAAGTAGGCATGCGCGACAAGTAGTGTGATCTTTGTTTTGAAATGATAATAGTTTTTTTAGTCCCAGCATTTCAAGTAATTCTAGGAATTAATTTCATTACGTGTTTTCCTCAAGATGATGATACCTACGACCAGTTGGTTGATGCTGTAAACGAGTTGTTACCACATAAAGCAATTTATGGTAAGTGGTAACATTAACTCGTCTGTCAGCCTGATCCAAAGCCCCTCTTTTATTTTTATGTGTGAGTAGTGAATCTGCCTCAATTAAAGTACATCAGAAACGAGGGCGTTTATGTTAAATAATATATAATGAGAAAGTATATATAAAGAACAATGTAATCAATGTATCAACTTGTAATTGCCAACAATCGTACGAAGCTAAAAGAGAGCTGGATAACATAATAATTGCTTTTCAACTTTCGAGTTTCGTGTCCTTTTTAACACAGTTTTATTAGCTTCACATGTATCTGTTTATCTATGTAACGGAATCTTTTAACGTAATTTTCACCAAGTTGCAGAGGGGTGATAGACTTGAAAATTCGCACTCGTTTTGAGCGATTACAATATAATAATAAATTTATTCTGGCATCCTGATAAGTATCACCAGGATATTTCTCTCTAGAATCATCACAGTTATATAATCAATGCGTGTTTTATTAATTTTCTTAAGTTTTGAATACTATTTATACCCAGTTCAGTGTACTCCAAATAAATTCAAGTAATTCTGAATACTTTATATTCATATTATGGCGGCCTAAAAATCTATCATCCATTAGAAATGCGAGGAAATTGCAACGCTTTTAGATAAATGGGGAAAAAGCTCAGCCTTGCGAGGTTGAGTTTCGTTGAAGGTATGTAACGTTGTCTTGTTCTGCGATTACAAATTCACCAGTTAAGCGTTTTCTATGTCGAAAATATTAATATCTTGTTTATTTTCATCATGAGAGCCTTATATCTATCAATGGACTGGTTCATCATCATCATTACAACCCTTCACAAATACACTGATGAACATATCCCCCCTCCCCCCAAGGAATGCCACAAACCACTGTCCTGAGCCATAATATGGACTACTTAGGAGTATATAATTGTGATGAGGAATTTTAATTAATTCATTATGTAAATAAAACTTACAAGATTTTATTCTTGCAGTAGGAGTCTAAAGTCTTCAAAATATGTGACAAATGTACTTGCTGTGATGACGTCAAGAGAGGTTTTAGTGCATTTGCCAACTGGCCGATATTCCAATTAACAATCTGTAAATCATTCAATTTACGTAATACGTAAAGATATATATATTCATTTTAAAAATATCAATACTTGGCCTTTTTTGTTCCTTCAATTAAATAATTACAAAAAATGGTTTTTTATAACTAAAATATTGCAATTGCTTATTTTTGTAAAACTTCAAAAAATAAAGAGATCAATATTAAAGCATGCATTGTTTTTTTTCATCTATTGTAGCATTATTGTAAACATGTGTTAACCATTTCGAGGATCTTGAGTTGTCCAAAGTTTCAGTCTTCGTTATGAAAACGTATAAAATACAAGACATCTATAACCATTATAATATTTTCTTTTATGGTAAAAAATAGTTATTTTTTATTATTCTATTATATTAATCCTCTTTTCTATTGCTTGTGTCATTTATGGACGCCATTAGACCAAAACCTCTTTATCAAATGGGCAACAGAAATCGCATGGTGTCGCAGCGAACTTAACACTACAAAAGCGAAGTTAGCCAAGTTAACTCTTTATAATAATATTGACATTAATAGTACTAATAAAAATATGAAAATTAATATAGTCAACGTTAAATCAGTAAGTCACGAGAGTGAACGGTGAAATCTTACGTTATTCCCATTCATTATTAAGGTCAAGAATCATCTAAATGATCCCATAAGATCGCCATGAAAATTTTATTGAAATAGGTCTATTTTAGGAGTTTTGGAGGAGAATGATTACGAACACATGTATGCCTGAATTTGAATGAGGATATTAGCGATAACGATTGTAGAATTTTTTCTTAGCTAATTCAGATCATGACCAATAACCTCGGCATTAATTAAGTGTCAGCACACGATATTTTTGAAGTAAAACTTCTTTATCAGAATCAGAATCAGAATCAGAATTTTTATTTGCGTAAGAACATGGTATATAAAGGTGGTACATGTTAAAAAGGTGCACATGTCTCGCTATTACAAATAGCATGCAAAATTAATTAATTTACGCACGCTTGACTTGGGGAATAAGCTGGCGAACGCGTTACGAAATCGTTACGAAAAGTATGATGGGGCGAGGCGAACGGGAATTGAGTGGGGGATATAAGCGAGAGCAGTGCGCGCGCTTTTCTTCTCTCATAGCCAGTAATTTTTCGAAATTTTATTTCATTTGAACAATTTTATGAATTCATATTTTGTTCAATACATTAAATATTCTACTTTAAAGTGAATAAAATTGTAAATTCATTTTAAAGTTCATGTTTTGTGAATTTTCGGGTGAATAATAACAAATTGTGGAAGGAAGCCGATAGTAAATTTCATATTTGTAGAAAATCAATATATTATACGTATACACATGTATATATTATGCATACCTATATATACAGGGTTTTTCAACAAAACTTTGTTTTCTAAAACAAAATAAAACAAAGAGTTTAGATGAAGATGATTCAAATTTTTATTGTAATACGAAGAGAAAAGTTTGGCAATTATGAATGAAAAATGATATCTAGCAAATATCCACCACGACCACGCTGACAGATGTCGATTCTTTCATCAAAGTTTTTAATCACTTTTTGGCAAAATGGCGGATCTATTTCGTTAATCACGTCACGGATTTTGAGTTTTAAGGACGCGAACGATTCGATTGGCTCCGTATAGACTCTGTCCTTAACATAGCCCCACAAAAAATAATCCAGTGGTGTTAAATCACACGATCTGGTTGGCCATACCTGAATTTCGTGAAATTATGCGATCGGATAATTTGGTTTGCAATAAATTGATCGTTTCGTTGGCTGTGTGACATGTGGCACCGTTCTGTTGAAACCACATGTTTGTGATATCGATCCAAAATTGAGATGTTAACATCTCGCGATAGCGTGATCCATTGACCGTTACCGCATTGCCAGCCTCATCTTCCAAAAAAAAGACCCAATCACGCCTCCAGACCACATAGCGCACCATACAGTAACACGTTGAGCATGCAAAGGCTTCTCAATAATCGCTTTAGGATTTTCAGAAGCCCAAATGCGGCAATTTTGCATGTTAACTACCCTGACAAGTGAAAATGGGCTTCGTCTGAAAAAATGATTTTTTCAGAAAAACCAGCGGGCTGTTCCTGAATGAATTGAGCGAATCTACGGCGATGTGAATAGTCGGTCAGCTTCAATTCCTGCACCAGTTGAACCTTGTAAGGCTTCAAAGCCAAATCCTTACGCAAAATTCGCCATGTGGTGGTTTTGGATAACCCCAATTGTTGAGAACTTCGAGGAATTGACAAATTTGGATCTTCTTCAACACTGTGGCTCACGGCTGCGATTTTTTCGGTTGAACGGCCCGGTCGAATACGCGTTGGTGTTGGCACATTTTGTACCGAGCCTGTCGATTCAAATTTAGCGACCAAATTCTTAATAGCTGTCTCAGAAGGACGATTATGTTGTCCGAAAATATCACGAATTTTACGAAACGTAACTTTAACAGAACCACCATTTTTATAGTGGATTTTAATTATTTTAATGCGATTTTCGAGCGAAATTGAATTCATTGTAGCAATTGCCAAAGCATCTACTACGAATAGGTCAAAAAACTAAATGTCAAAACTGTCATGTTGTTGGTGTTGCCCCAATTGAAAAACAAAGTTCTTATTGAAAAACCCATTATTTACTGGCTTGCCAGGCAAACGTTGTTCTGATCTTTTCGATGACCCTTTGTTTGTCCTGTCAGGCATGAAAAAAGTTGTGGGTCACTCATGGGCAAAAAAAATTATCCTATCTCGCAAGTTGGACCAAATTGAACACGGTGTGCAAATTTGATTAAAATCGGTTAAGTAGTTTAGGCGTCCATCGCGGACAAAAACGTGACACGTAATTTATTTATATTAAGATATATATTATTATCTCAGATGAAGTAAAAAAAGATCGATACAGCGCAGCCTTTGTTATTGTTGAAGCCAAAAAAACTCCGCTCCTTTATGTAAGCACACGCGTTCACGCACACACATGCATCAAACTACTCGCTCAGTACTTCCCCGGGCATCGTGCAGTAAATTTGCCTACAAATGCCGTCCTGTGTAGTTAAATGTGTGCAAAAATAATACTAAAGTGAACAAAAAGTCTGAAGCAATATCGTTTCATTCGTAAACACTCATTTAACTATATTTTAATTTGTTATTCCAACACAATTTTGAAGGTTATTCGAAGCACGCATGTCAATGCTTCGAGATTACGTAACGGGAGAATGCTGCCAGTATTTTTTATTTTTAATGGTCCAAGATTTGGGCAATTAATTTTAGGCTAAGTTATAAAAATATATGTAGTCTGCATATTTTTTTTTGTTGTTATTATGTTACATCAAATTGAAGTCAACGTAAATATTTAATTTTTTAAGTCGTTGATGTTTCTGTTTTAATTGTTGAGTACTTACAAACTATTTTACTATCAAAAAATATTTATAATAAACGAATATTTTAATAAGACATGAATTGTTTACGTGGTAGAGCCATGCTGCAGTTATACTATTAGTAGTATAGTTATAGAACGAATGGGTCGGCTCGACCGGGGAAGGACCACACTCTTACAGAATACCAGCATAAAATAGTAGCTTAAAGCTGCTGTTTCGTATGGTGAGTGTAGAGAACCGGAGACCCTTTTTACTGGAAACGAGGCATTCCATCTTAGCCCTCACGGGTGACAACGCATCTGCATTTTGATTCGTAATTGAGGATATATGTAGATGTCTATAGGGCCACAGAAACCACTTACCATCAAGTGGACTGTATGCTCGTTTGTCACCCTATCCTATAAAAAATGAGGGGTAGCTGCTATAAGACTGAGCTGAAATAAACCAAAATGGCAGCCATCCTCTTGACTTGACAGTGGTAGAGCCACGCAGCGGCTATTGATGTCGCGTGGATGGGCCAGCTTGAACCGAGATGGTACCACGACGTCAAAGAATACCTGCGTGAAGGCGGTGAATCCCTCGCTGAGTATCCACGACCAAGCTACTTTACTCTTCCTGAGCGTGGGTGCTTAGGCTGCTCTGCGTATTCTGGGGGGAAGGGGGGCGAAGGGTGGGGGGGAATTCTACTCGCGACTAAAACTGCTAGGGGCAAGCGGAGCAAGGCGACCCCTGTCACGATATCCGTGAATTTTTACAACATCAGGACACTTCATTCCAATCTTAATGCTGACCACTACCACCCGGAGACGGCGAAGCCGGCCTTGCTCTTTTTAACCGAGACTCAGGTGTCTTCTCCGGCTCATAATTCATATCTCTTCTACCCGGGGTACAAATAAGAACACTCCTTTGTGCCCTCCTGAAGTTTGTTCTATTTTGCATTTACTAAAATATACTTTTTTCATTTAGAAAAGTATATTTTTAATTCCATGGAAATTTATTTTTTATTCCAACTAGTTTTTTTAGTATTAAGTTATTTTTTATAATAAAACTGTTTTACATTACATATGTTTTAATATATTTTATCGATGCTTAGATGCTCACTGGACAATCTATCAAAAAGATTTTTAAATGCTCTACAGACGCCTCCTACGTGCTTCATCTTTATTTGAATTGTCAAATTGTTGACATTTATTAAGTGCTCAAGATCTAATCGCAAAACCGCAATTTGATAGTCTTTCAATATTTTCGGAAGACCTAGTTGCGGTTCAGTCAGGTCAGTAAAAACTAAGTCAATATAAAACAAACCAATTTATTTAGGGTTTTGTATTTTAGATATTTCAAAAACATCAATGTATGATTTTCATTATAACTATATGATTAAAAATTTTAGCAAAATCAAATTATTGTATACAGATACGGATAGTTTTATATATAATATGTTTACTGACATCTGATCTGACACTGATATCTGTTTTATAATATAAAACCTTTCAATATTGTTGAATATCCAAAATTAAATAAAAAGTAGGTAATAAGGTTTTTTCAAAGATGAAAATAATGGTAAAATCATAAAAGAATTTGTAGGTTTACGATATGAAATGTACGCTTTTAACTTATAGAATAAGACTATAGTCAAGGCAAAAGGGATAATTATATGTTATACTAAAAAGATCACAATGAAGAATTATAACTCTTCTTTCTATATTTAACAAAAGTGCAGTATTATAGTATGCTTAGATTTGATCAATTAAACACACAATTTTCAAACAAAAATTGAATAAGATTAGTTTATCATATAATGACACAAAGAGGCATATTTTAGATAATAATATTGAAACATTAGCTTGGGGTCATTATAAATTGCTTGCTAAAGTGTTGATAGTTTTTACTTTTATGCCTGATAATATTATTGAAATAGATAAAAACAGAAATGTTACTGTAGACTATAGCAGTTGAGGTAATAATGTGTGTTGTGTGTTAGATTTTTGTCTTATGCGTAATGCATTTTGTGTGTATGTAACTATGTGAAACATTATAAAATTAAATAAAACAAATTCTATGCAATATATTATTTTTTATTTATTATAAACCCCCTATTTAATCTTATACAAAACACTATTCGAATTTAAACTTTACATAAGCACACTGACTAAACCACTGAACATGCTGCTGGCAAGGATCATCATCATCACCCCAATCTTTTAAACCACCACTACAATGGAAACACTTGGTCCTGTCTGCATGGCCAGTATAAAAGAAACCGGCTTCTGCAAGATCTTCAGGCTTTTGTCGCATAACGAGAGGCCATTCTTAGAAAGTGAGTAACTGGCTAGATTTTGAACTAAAATGGATATTCAGCTTTTGAGTATTGCATATTCTTCTCGTTTTCATCTCCACTCAGTGTTGTAGTTTTGTTCTTCAATGACGTGTTCTGTACACGTATGCCACACTCATCTCTTTCTTCCGCTCTTGTCTTCCTTTTGTTTTCAATACCCCATTTCTTAATACATAAAACATTTTTAATGCACAGATTTTCTTATGAATAGAACAACTATACAGTATCTTTAAAATAAAGTTCTAAAGAGTATTTAAATTGGTAACTCCTAAGCAACTTATATCTTTGATAGTATTATTTTCATTACAAATAATCTTGTATTCGTTTAATTTTTTCACATCCTTTTAAAAAAAATCTTTTTATTTTTCAAATATGTCTTGATAATTTTGTGAAACTCTCTATAATCAACAAAGACCTCACTCCATCGATACCCTCTGCGCTTTTCAATCCAGCCAATTTTTTTTCTCTTCAAGAGATAGTGAAATGAAAGGGTAAGGAGGTTTAATTAGGATTATTTTGGTGTACTCTAGAGTGGCTATAGCAAATTATTTTACTATAAATTCATTTTTGCTATTTTTGAGTATCTACGATTACTGTATTGCTGTTCATGACATTTTCTTAACGATATTACTCAGTGGTTTGTATTCGAATATACAATCGTTTAAAATCAATCAATAAGCGGTTGTCTGATCTAGTATTTCTTTATCTGTTTCGATTTCAACTCTCACATCGATCGAACGTTTTATCAAACGACCATACACTGACTCCATGACTGCAGCTGCTCAGTCTTATATAGTATTAATAAATTATATCTAATCTAAAGCATTTCCGCAGTGAAACTGATAGTAACTTTATGAGTCAACAAGCTTATCTCGCATTCTTTCGTGTTGCGATTTGCACTAATGACTTTTGATGAATGTAATTGTTAAAAAAGTATTTTTTAACTTTTTCGCTTTCTGCTATTGTCTGTGTAATATTGTATACGAGGGCGTTTGTGTTGTCGTAGATGCTATCCTTATTAGTCTTTATATTAATATTTAATCCTCGCGGAAGCATGTTTCCAACATCGTTATCGTCGTCGTCAGAATAAGTAGAACTGTATGCACCATATCTAGCGGCTCGTGCTACGGTTGACGATAATAGCTTTCTCTTTTTTATTCAGCTTCAAAAAAAGATCAATCGATTGCGATTTTCTTTTTCCACCATTGCATGTGTTATTATTAATGACGATGTCATCACTCTCTTCTTGAGGGGAGAGTGGCGAGTAGTAATACTGTTTATAGTTATTTTCCTCGAAGCTGAATGATTTCTGCAACACACACACACATACACACACACGCACACTCGCGCACACGCACACACGCACGCGCACGCGCACGCGCACGCGCACGCGCACGCACACACACGCGCAGCCGCACACACACACACACACACACACACACACACACACACACACACGCACACACACACACACACACGCGCACGCGCACGCACGCACGCACGCACACACGCACGGACGCACGCACACACACACGCACGCACACACACAACACACACACACACACTAAAAAATAAGGAAGAAAAGTAAGTTTGCCAATAGAATAAACACTTACGTCCATGACCATTGATGCGTTGAAGTAACACAAACGTAGTATTGGTAGATCCACTGCGGTCAAACAACCAAACACTGACTGCAGCAGTATTACGCTGCTATTTTACGCTGTTATTCTGTGAGAGCGTGGTCCTTCCCCGGTCGAGCCGACCCATTCGTGTTACAACCATAACATAGCTGCAGCGTGGCTATACCACGTACAAAACCAGGTATATATATTCACGCAAACGCAGACGCTATCTGGGCTTAATTTTTATTTTATTACGGTACTGAACTAAAACGCTAAAACATAAGTCAGTGCTGTATCATCAAATATTCGGCCTCACTATCGATGTATAAATATATATATATATATATATATATATATATATATATATATATATATATATATATATATATAGATAATATAATATGAGATGAAGTAAGTATTTGGCGGAAAATCGAAAAAAATTACGTCTACACAGAGGAACTTGCTTGACCTAACTTAAATGTAACTGATATACTTAAACGTTACCCAATTATGAGCTAAAATGTATATAAGTTAACATATTACAAGCCATTATCATGGTAAAATGTAAGGCCTCATTAATAACTATTATTATAATATGTAATACATTCTCGCAAAAAAAAATTGGATTTAAAAAATGTGCATAAAGATTTCACTGGCATAAAATCACGCAAGTAACGTCGGCTTAGCCTGATACAGGTTCAAGGCTTAGTCTCCTCTGTTACGTAGAAAGTTTTATATTAATCTGTGCCTCACTACTGTCTACTCTACTCAGGAAAAAATAAAAACAATTATTTACGTCAGGCTGTTTAGCGAGAGCGTATCGTCCTTCTCCATCGCAACAGTTGGGGACAAACCCTCCATCGTAAGAGTCGACAAAACCAAATGGGCCGTAATCAAGTGTTAGACCAAGTAGACTCATATTGTCTGTATTCAAAAGGCCATGTGCGAAGCCCAACCCTGGAATAAATTTCATCTTAAATTGTTAAAAACTATCTGTTGCAAGTGTAAGAAGCTATTATCTAGAACTTTTTGTGTTGAAATACAACCTTATTCAATGATGGCGCTCTAAACATTTCGTTTGTCCTTCGAAGCGCAAGTCTAATCGAGAGGCTCTCATCGAAATATTTCTTTTATATAAGATAATCGATAATTCTGGATATTTGTTACCCCAGCGGTGGTCGCATAAAAATTTGGTCAAGATCTGATGATGGGATCCATGAGAAAATCATCAAACTCTTCATATTGCAACTGCACGACATATTATCGAACAACTCTTTACCACGTCAACAGAATTCGATAATTTGATTAATGATGATAACATTTAGTTCTTTGTTTAAAGTTTAATTAATTAATTAATTATCATCATCATCATCGTTACAGCCCTTCACAAGTCCACTGCTGAGCACAGGCCTCACTCAAGGAATGGCACAAATAATCAAAATTAATTAATCGAATCGAAAATCGTGGGGGGACCAAACACGGTACTGCTGCTTCTCACTCACTCACTCACTGTACTGATGCTTCGTGAATTTGTGATGTTATACGCGAGTATTGTAAAATTTTGGGGCAAGCTTTTATGACCTGAGCAACCACGACTGTTTCGGTTGCAACTTCCTTGAATGGAAATAATCAAAATATAACCTTCACGTAACGTATGAATCAGAACATTACGTTTTTTAAAGTTGTTAATAAAATTAATTTGCTTTTATCCTCGTAGTAAAAAAATTATGTATCTTACCTAGTTTGAAGAGCACCCCTCCCTTTATTCCGCATACTATTACACTAGGAAAGATAGTCCAATGTCGATAATACGACACTTGTTTCGCCTCTACAAGAGGATCCTTAGGTGATCTTAGAAAGTTAACTTTTATTAACAACTTTAATATAGTGGATTTCTGGAATGTAAAGCCTAATTCTATGAATTACATTAGGTTTTTTTTTCTTTTACCTTGCCACTTAGCAACCAGGTCTAAGGTCCTATGCGCTACCTCAGAAAATAGTCGTATGAATCGATTTTCATCCGTGGAATGTATTTCGGGAAAGTATTCCTGTAAATAATGTTACAAAAAGTTGCTCAAACATAACACATGAAACCACGTTAAATACTTTTTTTTTAAAGTAGTAAGTGACGAAACGAGGAAACCTACAGATCACAAACGAAAGATATACGTTGTCATTCCTGAGAACCGATAGAATGTCTCGTTACTAGTAAAACAGGGTCTCCGTTTCTAGTGTTCACCATACGAAACATAACAGTTTGTATGCTGCTGTTTCAAACTGGTATTCCGCGAGAGCGTGGTCCTGCCCCGGTCGAGCCGATTTATTTATACTGCAGTTATGTATTGACTGCCTCATTGTTTAGTGGTTGTAAAACTTGACTGCTGAACATCAGGTCCAGGGTTCGCATTCCTGTCGGGTCCAAAAAAATCTGTTAGTGAGTTTTCCGTCAAGAAATTCTCAGTAGCTGCCCGGAGTCAGAAAGTGAGCGGCGTCTTACCTTCGTGCCTCGAAAAACACGTTAAGCCGTTGGTTTTGCGCCTAGCCTCCAGTACGCATTTATTCTAAGGCCGAGAGTCTTAGAATAATGCGTACTGGAGGCTTAGAGCATAGTGTAATGGTTTTCCGGTCGAGCCGACCCATTCGTACTACCTGTAGCGTGGTCCTACTATGTAGTAGTTAATAAGTAGTAGTAGTAAAAGCATATACGTACTGCCTTTGAGTATTAAACCTATTTCTTAATTAATGTTGGTTGATAATTTAAAGATAACTGCATAATGCTATGTAGGATTTGGATTCGGTGTTTTGGAACAAATTAATATTTAGTTATTATCATATATATACCGGATGACCATTTTTACTGTCTGGAAAAAAATTGGGTGTAACATGTGAACGGAGTAGAAGCCTATAGCGCTGATGTTTTACAAAAAAAAAAATAAAAACAAAGATTTTGAATTAAATAAATTAATTAATTAAAATCTATCGAAAATCAAATCATATCCACGTGTGTTATCTCAGAACTTTTTCAAAGTGAACCGATTTTGATAATTCTATAATATTCTATAAATAATTAAATTAAAGTTTTATTAGAAATCTGGTGCTTCTATTGTGGTCTCATATAAATTTAATCAAGGTCTGACCAGCACTTTTAAGTAATGCGTATTTAATAAACTTCTACTACATTGATGATGTTCTTTTTTATAATAGGTCCTTGTGATATAGGTACATATGAAATTGGCGTTTTTTACGGGAGGAATTTAAGAATTTTTTTTTTTTTGCAAAATATATTTAATTAATCAAAGTATGCACTGTTGTTGTCTATGCACTTTTGCCATCTCATAGGTAGTTCATTGATCCCTTTACTAAAAAAACCATGTGGGCGAGAATCAATAAACTCTTTGAAGGCGGTTTGGACTGCCACATCGGAGTTGAATTTTTTTCCTTGTAAGAAGTTGACCCAATTCCGAAAAAATGGTAATCTGTTGGAGCAAGGTCCGGGGAGTACGGTGGATGTCGCAGACATTCCAATTGTAGCTCATCTAACTTAGTGGTTGTTTGTTGTGCAGTGTGTGGTCTTGCGTTGTCGTGAAGCAGCAGTAGCCTAGAGCGATTGACCAATCTCGGTTGTTTAGCAGCTAGTTCTTTCTTCATGGCTTGCAGTTGCTGACAAAAGATATCTGCCGTAATCGTTTGGCCAGATTGTAGAAAGCTGTAGTGAACGACACTGGCGCTAGTCCACCAAACACTCACAAGTAACTTTTTCTGAGTCAATTTTCGTATAGGGCAGGATTTGGCTGGGTCTCCAGGGTTCAGCCATTGCGACGAGCGCTTCCGATTATCGTACAGTATCCATATTTCATCACAAGCAATGATTCGGTTTAAAATCCCTTTATTTTTGTGTCAGTTGAGCAAAGTAACACAGCAGTCGACGCGTGTTTGTAAGTTAGATTCACTCAATTGATTCATGAGGTACCCATCGTTCAAGTTTTTTTACTTTCCCGATTTGCTTCAAGTAGATTAATACAGTTTTATCACTTACCCCGAAGCCTGCAGCTATTTCTGAAGTGCTTTGTGACGGATTCGCTTCCATAATAGCCTTTAATTCTTCATTTTCCACTTTGGTCTCCGGAGGTCCACGGGGTTGATTCTGAAGGTCGAAATTTCCAGAACGAAAACGATGAAACCAAAAACGTACCGTGTTTTCTTTTGCGACACCAGCGCCGTACACATCATTAAACCTTCGAACTGTTTCTGCAGCACTGGTACCACGGTAGAACTAGTAATTTTATAAATTTGAATTTGGAATTAACCAAAGAGGAGATATTAGTAGATAGGTTGTACCACTTCTGGCTCACTGAGTCAGAAGTGGTGCAACGTTCGTCGACTCACGATGCTAAAAAAAAAAAGAAAGAAAGGTTTTGGCATGCTCTGATCACGAATCTGTGTTCCGTTTTTGCGTAGGATGCACGATTCCGGAGATGTGCAGATCAATTAACTATCATCTAATTGATATCCTGTGAGGGCCTCCACCGTCATTAGCGCCCCATTGTTCTTATCTATTTATCTATTGTTCATTAAATACCATCATTGTCTATTTTTCCTCGGCGTATGCGTCGGCTTATCAGTGCTATTGTACTGTACTTCTTTGTTCCTATCTACAACGCTAATCTGAATCATCAATAAAACACATTACCTAATTTTGTTACAATTTTTATTTACAAAATACAAAATCTTATTACTTATTGTCTATAAAATAGGAGCGAAACATCTCATCCACTAAAATATCATTGTACAATGTGTTCCCTGTAAATATACTCGTAAAACTATGCATCTAACATCCTTGAAACTTATATAGCAAATACATTAAGCAATATTCGCCACAAACTGAAGTCCACTCATTCTGAATCCTATCAACATTTCCAGTTCCATTTTACAATTCCTTTTTAAAAACTCTAGATGATATCGTACAGGTGAGCGTCCATATGAATCAAAATATTGATCGACATCATTCGTATCGATATATAAAGCTACCCAATGTGACCCTCGTTTATCATCTGTATCCAAATTGCATATTATATACGTTGGTACGTGGGTATACATGGGCAGTCTATTAGCAGCATAAACATTATTTTCTAGACTGGGGTGAATCTTTTTCAGATGTTGTTGTACATCTAGTGTATCCATTATATTACTGCTATTCGTAGATTATTACAGTACCAATCTACACAATGACTAACATAGGAATGATCAATTATAGTGATTTCTAAATATTAAATTGCATTCTTTTGTGTTATACAAATCGTATTTGAGTCATCAATATACTGAACAAGACGTAACACGAAGGAATGTTGAGATAAGCAACAGAATGTGAGATAAGCTTGTTGAGGCATAAAGTTACTCGTACTATCAGTTCCACTGCAGAAATTCTTTAGATTAGAATTATTACTCACTGGTACTATATAAGACCGAGCAGCTGCAGTCATGGAGTTAGTGTATGGTCGTTTGACCGCAGTGGATCTATCAATACTACATTTGTTGTTACTTCAACGCATCAAAGGCCATGATGTAAGTGTTTATTCTATTGACAAACTTACTTTTCTTTCTGTAACTTTCTTACGTGTGTATGATTTAGTGTTAACAAATTATATTTAAATAATATGTGTGTATATGATTAAGCCGTGGTAGCTCAGATGGTTAGCGCAAGCTGTAAATTTCACAGTACGCGACCCGAGTTCGATCCCCTCCGGCACCAACTAAATTGTTAATTGCAATTTTAAGTGCTGATTTACCACGTGCTCAGCGGTGAAGGAAAACATCGTGAGGAAACCTGCATGTCTGAGAAAATTTCGAAGGCATATGAAGTTGGCCAACACGCATTGAGGCAGCGCGGCGGACATTTCCTAGCCCTAAATACAAAGACAATAGCAGAAAGTGAAAAAGTTAAAAAATACTTTTTTAACAATGACAGTCATTAGTTGATCATTAGTGAATGTGATTCTGTTTACTTAAATTACAGGAAGACAAGAGCAGAAGGAAGAGATGGGATGATGGGAAGTAATGAAGCATTGTTATGTGAAGTTTGTTGGAACAAACATATTTTTAGTCACGTGTAAATACTTTTAACTTTTTGGTTCAAAATGACACAAAATCTAAAAAATATTAGATACATCATCTACGTAGACGATTTTACATTACATATCCTCATAAACATTTTCAATGTAGAGAAATGGCTATTCTATAAAAATTTTGTTTGATTTCCCAAAAACATTAGTTATAATACACAATATATATTAATTGTTTACCTATACCAACACTTTCATTTTTTATTTCACCCCTTAGAACTTTAGACGTGTGTAATTTTTCACTTTATATATCCGTTTACTGCTATTGTGGCAGGACCAAGTGGATGTGGGAAGTCAAATTTTGTAACAAATTTCATAAAATCAGTTACAGAAATATGTAATTGTGATTTTAATCAGATCACATGGTGCTTTGATGAAATGCAACCTTTATATAATTTACCAAATGTTAACTATCATCAAGGAATTCCAAATCTTAATATGTTAGATGGTGAAAACCCACATCTTGTTATTATTGATGATCTAATGAGAGAGTCCGATGGAAGAATTGTAGATATATTTACAAAAGGTAGTCATCACAGGAATCTCAGTATTTTATTTAACACAAAATCTATTTAATCAGGGTAAAGGGCAAAGAGACATATCTTTAAACTCAAGTTATATAATATATTTTAAAATCCATCGAGATAAAACTCAAATAAGATATTTAGCACGACAAGTGTCACCATCATCATCATCATCATTACAGCCCTTCACAAGTCCACTGCTGAACATAGGCCTCCCCCAAGTAATGCCACAAAGCACGGTCCTGAGCCACCTGCATCCATCGACTTCCTGCATGTCTTACCAGGTCGTCACTCCATCTAGTGGGGGGTCGCCCTACACTACGCCTACGGGTACGAGGCTGCCACTCGAGAACCTTTCTTCCCCATCGGTTATCGGTTCTTCGAGCTATATGGCCGGCCCATTGC